ATGCTGTTTGAGGCTTCTATACCTTTTGTGTTACTATGTGCTAGAGCCTCTTTTTAGCTTAGTCCTAAAATGGAAACTTTTTACCCTAAAACATAACTGAAACCCAACCCAACAAAAATGTAATATATTGCAGCTTACCAGTACTAGCTTTTCTGTATACCATTAATCCCATCATTCCTCATGTAAAAGAGAAGAATGAAGACAGATGTGCTTGAAGTCCAACTTTGGTGGAAAAAGGGCTCCCCCCATGGATATAGTACAGTGGAGGGAACATTGCCACCCAATGACAGACAGGGTGTTATTCACAGGATCACAGTTCAAAAATAATTGAAAGACAACTGAAAAAAAGAAGACTAATGCAGCCACTGCATCTATCCTTGGTAAACTGCAATATACATTATACTGCCAAAAGTATCAGGCCGCCTGCCTTTACAAGCACATGAACTTTAATGGCACCCCAGTCTTAGTCCGTAGGGTTCAATATTGAGTTGGCCCACCCTTTGCAGCTATAACAGCTTCAACTCTTCTGGGAAGGCTGTCCACAAGGTTTAGGAGGGTGTCTGTGGGAAGGTTTGACTATACTTCCTGAAGCGCATTTGTGAGGTCAGGCACTGATGTCGGATGAGAAGGCTTGGCTCGCAGCCTCCATTCATCTCAAAGGTGTTCTGTCTGGTTGAGGTCAGGACTCTGTGCAGGCCAGTCAAGTTCATCCACCCCAAACTGGCTCCTCCATGTCTTTATGGACCTTGCTTTGTGCACTGGTGCGCAGTCATGTTGAAACAGGAAGGGGCCATCCCTAAACTGTTCCCACAAAGTTGGAAGCATGAAATTGGACAAAATGTCTCGGTATGCTGACGCCTTAACAGTTCCCTTAACTGGAACTAAGGCACTAAGTCCAACCCCTGAAAAATAACTCCACACCATAATCCCCCCCTTCACCAAGCTTTACACTTGGCACAATGCAGTCAGGGAAGTACCGTTCTCCTGGCAATCGCCAAACCCAGACACATCCATCAGATTATCAGACAGAAAAGCATGATTTGTCACTCCAGAGAACAAGTCTCCACTGCTCTAGAGTCCAGTGGCGGCGTGCTTTACACTACTGCATCCGACGCTTTGCATTGCACTTGGTGATGTAAGGCTCGGATGCAGCTGCTCAGCCATGGAAACTTATTCCATGAAGCTCTCTACGCACTGTTGTTGTGCTAATCTGAAGGTCACATGAAGTTTAGAGGTCTTTAGCTATTGACTCTGCAGACAGTTGCCGACTTCTGTGCACTGTGCGCTTCAGCATGTGCTGACCCTGCTCTGTCAATTTATGTGGCTGCTGTTCCCAGTTACTTCCACTTTGTTATAATCCCACTAACAGTTGATATGGAATATTTAGTAGCCAGGAAATGTCACGGATGGACTTATTGCACAGGTGGCAACCTATCACGGGACCACGCTTGAATTCACTGAGCTCCTGAGAGCAACTCATTCTTTCACAAATGTTTGTAGAAGCAGTCTGCATGCCTAGGTGATGATTGTATACACATGTGGCAATGGAGGTGATTGGAACACCTGAATCACATGATTTGTAGGGCGGGCCCAATATTTTTGGCAATATAGTGTGTTTGTTGTTGGGTTGATATTTTAAGGCTAAAAATAACATCATCCTTTTTTCTGCAGTAGGGGCCATCAGTTAATTCATTTTGGGGCAGTAAGAAGCCAAAAGCCCTTTATGCTCTGAAGCAACACCTTTTCTGAATCATTTAGGGTGGTGTACATATGCTTTCATTGTTTCCATGTTTTAATTGCATTTATTTACAGCAATTTGAATAAGGCCTTATTCACACGCATATGCCCGTGTGAGGGCCATGTTTGCCTGCATGGGAATGCACAGGTGTTGCATACACCCCTGCACAGGCAGTCCCACTGTCCCCAATTGGGATGCAGCGGCTGCATGGACACAACTACTGCTCCCAATTTAACGGCCACGTGGGTGTGGGTGCATGTACGTGTGTGTGCGACCCCGAATGCAGACCATGTGCATTCAGTGCCATGCACCTGCACAGCTGTTAGCTTGAGATTAACTGCTGTGTTCTTGCAGCTGCTCAATCCAATGGCCATGAATGGGACTGCCTGCGTAGGGGTGCATGAATCAAATGTGTATCCCGATGCGGGCAAACACAGCCCTCACACAGGCATATGCTTAAGTTCACTCATGTAAATGAGGCCTAAAGGTTCAGTAGGACATTTGTTCAAGACCTATATTATACCTATAGTAAAAAAAGACAAAAACATAACACTGTGGAGTATATTTATATAAAAAAAAAAAAATAACATAGCTGTTCATCAGCCTTCTAAACTGCTTGTAAATTATTTCTGTGGGAATGAGGCAAAATCAAATGGCCCCAGGCTATATTCTGTGCAATTAGAATGTGTAAACGTGGAAAATACCTCATCATGGTCATAGATGGTGTTGAGGAGCTTACCTATCTCTTATGATTGTCATCACCATCTAGTGTCCATAATGCTGTATTTTCTGTATTCACACATCTGAATTGCAGAGAATATATAGTTAGGTCCATAAATATTGGGACATCGACACAATTCTAACATTTTTGGCTCTATACACCATCACAATGGATTTGAAATGAAATGAACAAGATGTGCTTTAACTGCAGACTGTCAACTTTAATTTGAGGGTATTTACATCCAAATCAGGTAAACGGTGTAGGAATTACAACAGTTTGCATATGTGCCTCCCACTTGTTAAGGGACCAAAAGTAATGGGACAGAATAATAATCATAAATCCAACTTTCACTTTTTAATACTTGGTTTCAAATCCTTTGCAGTCAATTACAGCCTGAAGTCTGAAACACATCACCAGACGCTGGGTTTCATCCCTGGAGATGCTCTGCCAGGCCTCTACTGCAACTGTCTTCAGTTCCTGCTTGTTCTTGGGACATTTTCCCTTCAGTTTTGTCTTCAGCAAGTGAAATGCATGCTCAATAGGATTCAGGTCAGGTGATTGACTTGGCCATTGCATAACATTCCACTTCTTTCCCTAAAAAACTCTTTGGTTGCTTTTGCAGTATGCTTTGGGTCATTGTCCATCTGCACTGTGAAGCGTCCAATGAGTTGTGAAGCATTTGGCTGAATATGAGCAGATAATATTCCCGAAACACTTCAGAATTCATCCGGCTGCTTCTGTCAGCAGTCACATCATCAATAAATACAAGAGAACCAGTTCCATTGGCAGCCATACATGCCCACACCATGACACTACCACCACCTTGATCACTGATGAGGTGGTATGCTTAGGATCATGAGCAGTTCCTTTCCTTCTCCATAATCTTCTCTTCCCATCACTCTGGTACAAGTTGATCTCGGTCTCATCTGTCCATAGGATGTTGTTCCAGAACTGTGAAGGCTTTTTTAGATGTCATTTGGCAAACTCTAATCTGGCCTTCCTGTTTTTGAGGCTCACCAATGGTTTCCATCTTGTGGTGAACCCTCTGTATTCACTTTGGTGAAGTCTTCTCTTGATTGTTGACTTTGACACACATACACCTACCTCCTGGAGAGTGTTCTTGATCTGGCCAACTGTTGTGAAGGGTTTTTTCTTCACTAGGGAAAGAATTCTTCGGTCATCCACCACAGTTGTTTTCCGTGGTCTTCCGGGTCTTTTGGTGTTGCTGAGCTCACCAGTGCGTTCCTTCTTTTTAAGAATGCTCCAATCAGTTGTTTTGGCCACGCCTAATGTTTTTGCTATCTCTCTGATGGGTTTGTTTTGTTTTTTCAGCCTAATGATGGCTTGCTTCACTGATAGTGACAGCTCTTTGGATCTCATCTTTAGAGTTGACAGCAACAGATTCCAAATGCAAATAGCACACTTGAAATGAACTCTGGTCCTTTTATTTGCTCATTGTAATTGGGATAATGAGGGAATAACACACACCTGGCCATGGAACAGCTGAGAAGCCAATTGTCCCATTACTTTTGGTCCCTTAACAAGTGGGAGGCACATATGCAAACTGTTGTAATTCCTACACCGTTCACCTAATTTGGATGTAAATACCCTCAAATTAAAGCTGAAAGTCTGCAGTTTAAGCACATCTTGTTCGTTTCATTTCAAATCCATTGTGGTGGTGTATAGAGCCAAAAATGTTAGAATTGTGTCGATGTTCCAATATTTATGGACCTGACTGTAGCCAGTGACCCTCCAATTAGACTCATTTGCACAGAACAAATTTAACTTAAGTTTTAAGCAGCTACACAATTCTTTTTATAAATACACCCACGGCCTCTTATGAGCAAGAACATAGGGGAATGAAGTTCTGGCACCTCCAGGAATGAATGTATGTAATGGCAAGGGGTGCCGAGGTTTGTTGAAGGGCTTGTTGAAGATGCTTGCTGCTGGGGAATCTATTGTTGCTCGAGGGGATCTGTTTTTTGTGGGGGTCTATTGTTGCTGGAGAGGTCTATTGTTGCTAGAGGGGAATCTATTATTGGCGGGGGTTAGTTGTTACTGGAAAGGATCTACAGTTGAGGGAAAGGCCTATTGATGTTGGCTGCTGAGAGATCTGTTGTTGCTGTTGGGGGTCTATTGTTACTGTTGTGGTAGTTTGTTGCTGGGAGGGTCCATTGTTGCTGGGAGGGTCTATTGTTGTGGGAGGATCTATTGTTATTGGTGGGGACATCTATTGTTGCTGGCTGTTTTTACTGTTTTTTTTTGTTATAGTTAACAAATGACATGCACATTACTTAGCACCACAAAATGATTCTTGCTTCTATATTCTCTAAAAGGGGCAGTGTGGATAGGTGGTAGAACAAAGGGGTGGTGCTCAAAAGTGGTTAGGGGCAGAGAGAAAGGGTGACTAAGAAGTTTCTGTACTTATTCCCTGAGAAAAAAAGCCCTGAATACATCCCTTTGTATCTCAGCACTTAAAAGTCCCCGGAAGACAAGCCATAGTCTCCCCCTTTGGAGTGAAATTTTTCTCATTAACATTACCCTTCAGCAGGGGCGGACTGACTATTTGGAAACTTGGGCACTGCTCGAGGGGGGCGGGGTCAGTAGGGGGCCCCATAAGATGTCCCTGGTAACTTTTTCATAGGCTTTTTGGAGTTTGGACAAGGACACAGGGACCCCATGATCCCCTATTGCCCGGGGGCCCCATGAGTTGTCAGTCCACCCCTGCCCTTCGGTGACTTTTGTTGAGCACCCAATCTAGACCCCCAAGAACAATGACACCATATATCCACCTAGAGTTTAATAAGCCCCATATAGTACAGCAGTGGAATTCTGTACAGAGAAACAGGCTGTGCATGTAAGCATTTAGCATTTTTGTGCATGATCACTCACATATTGATGGTATTAAAAAGACCAACCGACCAACCAGAATTATAAACAGCAGGCTTAGTACATTGCATTGGATCAGACACATCATTTCTTTTCAATTGTCCGGGCAATAATTGTATATACTATTTTTTTTAAAACTTATGTATCTTTATTATTTTCTGCTGCAAATCATTACTGGTGACCATAACTCAGACTCTATCTGCTGTTTTATTGCATCACAAATGACATCGCCAATTCATTTCCATTAGCTCTTCCAAGATTATAGAAGGTGATTTGTGATGCAATGATAAGACAGACTTAGCCTGAGTTATGGTTCTCAATTATGGATGGCAGGGTTTGTTAATTATGGACCAGTAACTCTCATCTCTACGTCACTGCTTACAATAACTCTAGTCATTTCTCTTTTAGATTGCCTAATGTAGCATTCTTCATTCTACTGGAATGGCAAATATACAAGTAATATTGAGTGACATGACAGAAAATATATTTTCTGGTTAGTTATGTCTTGTGAAGATTTTTTCCTCTCCATTTTATCACATGGTGAATGATGGGGTGTCAATATGACCGAGCAGTTCAGAATTTATTTCTAATTTTTGGTCAAATTCAACTGCAAAGTTATTATTTTACGGAACGTCACACAATATTCTGTAGGTAAAGCTTTAACACCTTAGCCTGCACAGTTGAGAAAAACATTTTTAATTAAACTCCAGAATGTCTAAATCAGGATTAAACAGAAACTATAATATGTTACAGTTTACACAGTTACATACAGATAATTACATACTTAGGTTGAAAAAAAATATACAAGGCCATCCAGTTCAAGCAACCGAAAAAAAAAAAAATAGAAAACCTCCTTTATACACAATCATATACCCACAGTTGATTAAGAAGAAGACAAAAAAAACCCCTCAAATAAAGCATGGTCCAATTTTGATTGGGAAAATTCCTTCCTGATCCCCCAAAACCCTATATGTGGTGGCTGCATTACGTTTTTTTAAGTGTTTTTCCTTTATTTTCACTTGGTGATCCTCACAGTAAGTCTGTTATTTTTTTAACTTCCTTTAGTGGGTCAAGCTGTCCCCTTAAGGGGAACTCTGGATAACCCTGATGTCCCAAGAGTGAGTCCCAGGACCACAAGAGGGAGTCTACTGGATTCCTGCCTTACCCTGTGATGACCATCTGATGACATCAGGATATAACATACAAATGCTCATTAACTTGTGCGTTCTGGTGAGTGCGCATTCCTTATGCACCTTTATGCACATCATTGATCTGCAGGAAGTCATAGGAATATCTGAGCTTTATGAACTGTTTTTTATGTCAGTGTGACATTAGATTTGTAATATTCATATTATTATTATATTGATTTTATTATATTATATCATTTAGCGCTGCACGTTTATTTTTATACAATCCACAGCGGATCACTTTTTAAGGTGTCGGCAAGAGCTGCCACCAGTGGAAGCATCCTAGTTGCCTTACTCAACATTTTTTAATAGGTAGCAACCCTTGAAATAACTTTCTGGGCTCATGGAACCCTTGATAATAATTACTAGATCTACAGCTCACAGTACATTAGTGTGATGGTCAGTGGGGAGAATGTTCCTTACATTTGTGTTCATTGATAAAAAATTACCCCCTTACAAATAGCTAACAAAGTGATTGTTGTCAGTAGGAATCTATCTGTGAGGCAGGAATTGCTCATTGCTCAAGGAGCTCCTAGCAATTGCTGGAGGAATCCTGGTTGAAAAAGACTGCATTAATGAAACATTGTGGTAGTGCAAAAAATATATCACTGTGGAGGTTCTAATTTGTCCAGGTCATAGTGTATTTAATAGTAGTAAGTCACATTCAGCTGGACTTGTTCTGTAATGGTGAAAACGTTTAGTAGCTTATACCAGCCCCTTCTTCAGTTCCAATAAGTGAAGTGGACAGGGGTCAGTCGCCGACACCATGTTTCTTTTCTTAGCGTTTCTTTAATAAGTGTTGTAGCAGTTTCAACACCACTTCTATCACTTTCCCATCATGTCTTCTCTGCTCTTTCACAGGTAAATGACTGCTTGCCATGTCCATGTGTACAATCCCCTTGCCATGTATGTTTGACACTGCAACAGTCTACAACCATCTTAGCTCCTACCTCACTGAAAACAACCTTCTTGACCCCTTACAGTCTGGCTTTTGCTCACAGCACTCCTCAGAAACTGCCCTACTAAAACACATTAACAAATGACTAAATGACTAAAACCAATGGCCGCTACTCCATGCTCTTATTACTAGACATCTTTGCGGCCTTTCATACTGTTGACCACTCGCTCCTTCTCAATAAACTCCACTCTTCGGTCTATCATGACTGCTGTTGCCAGACTCATCTACCTTACCAAGTGCTCAGTGTCTGCAATCCCTCTCTACCAATCCCTCCACTGGCTTCTGTCTGCCCAGTGAATTAAATTCAAAATAATAACAACAACAAACAAAGCCATTCATAAATCTGCCCCAAGCTTAACCACCAACCTTGTCTCCAAATATCACCCAAACCATCCTCTCCACTCCTCCCAAGACCTCCTGATCTCAAGCTCCCTTGTCTCCTCCTCCCATGCTTGTCTCCAGGACTTCTCCAGAGCCTATCCCATCCTCTGGAACTTTCTACCTCAGTTTGTCTGGCTATCTCCTACTCTGGCTGCCTTTTGGTGATCCCTGAAAAGTCATCTCTTTGGGGAAGGCTATCATAACTCCAGATAACTGAACTTTTATCACTTTAGCTCATCTCCCACAGTTATAACCTCTTGTACCACTTGTCCCACCCTAGTAGATTGTAAGCTCTTATGAGCAGGGCCCTCTTAACCCTCTTTTATTTACTTGTATTGTAACTGTACTGCCTCCCTTTAGATTTTAAAGCGTTGTGAAACTGTTGGTTTTTTAAATCCTGAATAATAATAATAGTTAATAGTAAAGTACTGGGGTCTTTTCCTGACAACCATTAGAATTGAGAAGAAGTATCTCTGAGAAGCTATAAAATGTCTTCAACATTAGAGAACAAGTCCAGTTGAATGTGACCAACTACTACTAGATATGTCACTGTGATAATTAATGAGATTCTACAGTCACATGGTTTTGGGGTAAGGCTAGCTTTGGGGTACATGTTTGTCCCAAGTCGTGAAGGTCTGAGGTGTGCCTACAATGTTAGGCACCCCTCAGACCTTCACCACTCTGGTGGGTAGAGGACTGAAGATTTCAACAAAGAGAGCAGCCACCAGTATGAAGGATGCTTCTCAATCAATGTACGTACTGACCCTTGTGCTGATTTTAAAAAAATAATTAAGTACAGTAAATAGTAAATAAGTTACAGTAGGCTGTAAGGAAGCCTTCATAGCAGCGTTACACACCTAATCGTTTTTTACCTGGAATCTGTTATATTTTAAAGAATTATGATGCCTCAATCATTGAGAAGGGAAAAGGGGTATGATTGCATGATTGTCCTAAATCTGTTATGATAGATTTTATTATTTTACTATGGTAAGTGCACAAAGCAGTCACATTAAGTCACACCGTATTTTCCGGCGTATAAGACGACTTTTTACCCCTTGAAATATCTTCTCAAAAGTCGGGGGTCGTCTCATACACCGGTATACAGCATACTGACACTTTTTTAGGGGGGGCGGCGCGGTGCCACCACCGCCCCCCCCTTCCAATGGAAGGGACACTAAGTACAGGGGTGGGCAGGGGCTGCTGTCTCTTACCTGGCTCCGGTCCCACCACTATCCGGTCCGGGAAGCGCAGCTGCTCCTTCAGTTCGGCCACTGGATGTTCGCATGGCTGCTCGGCTCCGCCTCCTCACGGTGATTGGCCGCCAGAACTGTAGCTCAGGAAAGGCACACAGGCGGCCAATCACCGACGAGGGGGCAAAGCCGAGCCACCCCGCGAAAATCGAGTGAAGGAGCGGCCGGTAAGTGTGCCGTGTAGAGGTGCTACTGCAACCACATATGCTGGCTGCAGCAGCACCATACTAGAACAGAGGTCAGCAAGTGTAATTGGTGTCAGTGGAAGGAATAGTGCCCCATCATTGGTGTCACTGATACCAATGATGGAACACTATTTCTCCCACTGACACCAACGATGGGGCACTATTCCTCCCCCCCACTGACACCAATGATGGGGTACTATTCCTCCCCCCCCACTGACACCAATGATGGGGCACTATTCCACCCCCCACTGACACCAATGATGGGACACTATTCCTCCCACTGACACCAATGTTGGGACACTATTCCTCCCCACTGACACCAATGATGGGGCACGATTCCTCCCACTGACACCAATGATGGGGCACGATTCCTCCCACTGACACCAATGATGGTGCACTATTCCCCCACTGATACTAATGATGGGGCACTATTCCTGCCACTGATACCAATGATGGGGCACGATTCCTCTCACTGACACCAAAGATGGGGCACTATTCCTCCCACTGATACTAATTAGAGATGAGCAAATCGAACCAGGCGAAGTGGAATTCGTTTCGAATTTCAGGAAAAATTCGATTCGCGGCGAATCCGAATATTAGCATACTTCGGGTGCGCGAATTCGGATTTTTCCCGATCAGCCGGCAAAAGTGTCCCTGCAGAGAGCTCCGCTATTTCTGACAGTTCTCTGACAGTTCCTTCACATGTACAGCGGTTGAAACATTGTATCTATTTGTTTCCATTTAGGATACAGATGTTTTTATTCGGAAATAGATACAATGTTTCAACCGCTGTAAATGTGAAGGAACTGTCAGAACTGTCAGAAATAGCGGAGCTCTCTGCAGATACACTTTTTGCT